TGACTTTGTTCAATAAAGTGTTATAGGTAGATTCAACATCATTTACAATGAACCTAAGTCTTCTTTTATTAAGAGCATCTAGTTTCTTGGTGTTTCGTACGGTTCGTGGCTTCCATGATGCGGTGTTTTGCCTCGGCCAGGAGAAAACTCGCATACCTTTGGGAAGCAAAATTTTTGAGAGTATCACGCATCAAGTTCCGTTCGCAAATTCATTCGGGTTTGCTTTAAAACTCTGAGAAGTATCTTTCTTGGCCGAGACGAATCGTGAACAAGCGGTTAGGGATCCTTTTGCGATAGAGAGCCTCGCTACTAACGTCTTGAATTTGTGAATAGTTCAGCTAGTGCGATGCTGAACGAGTTTTCTCGAAAGTTTTGAAGGATATCTGATGACTCTCAGCTGACGGGCCACACCACCTAGTAATAGTCACAGAACGGATTTTGGGATGAAAAAAAAAAATACAAAACAAAAACAAAACAAAAACAAAAGCAAATCGAACTGTTCAAAGTATATTAATTTCCCTAGCGTCAAGTGAATCAAGCTAAAAAAACAGACTCACGCAAATGTGACTAAATTAGATGACGAGGTTAAACAGCTCCAAACTGTGGTCTCGTTGAGTTGTCGGCTGATTGTGCTGCCTTTGACAGTTGTTGTCTACGGGTATCAGTAGGTTTACAAATGACTCTCTAGCAGAGAGATCACTTGAAAACAAAATTTTGCATTGATTATTAACACCTTTTTTTATGCTTTCCCTTGAAGGAATGTCGCTGAAAATCATGTCAGTAATGGCCCTCTTACTGGGTTTGTCTTCTGTAGCCCAAGTGATCGCCAAACCGGTAGATAAACGGTCTTCCTCGTGTAATCCTAATGATCTCTTGTGCTTGAGGAACCTGGCGTCTGACGCTGTTGAGACTTCTCCTCTTACGTAAGACAACCATAAACCTTCGCTTTACTTCAGTAAACTGGAAACACAAAGTTATGGTATTTCACATGTGTTTATATGTCCACATGTTTATTTGTTTATATGTTCATATGTTTTTTCAAAAAAAAAAAAAAAAAAAAAAATATCCTACGCATCACCCGAGGTGGTGTTGGTACCCTATTCAGTGGTTAGAGTAATGTATAAGCCCTACCTAAAAATACACATTAAATTCTTCCATGTTTCAAAAAAAAAAAAAAAAATTATCAAAAATCTCTCGCGCGTAAATAGACATGCTGCATATGCTTTCCTCACTCCAGGTCCCCAAAAATAGTTTCCCGCGTAGGCATTTATAGATTATGCTAGCATAATTTTTGGCATAATTCGAGCAAACTGGCATAATTTCTGCCAAGTAGCGATGCTAGCATAATTTGCGCAATTTGATAATTATCAGATCATTTTTGATGCCATTATTTGATAATTTTTGGTCTCTAGTCCCAAGCACTTGATGACCTTAATCGATATTTAAAGTTTTAGTTAAGAAAAGCAAGAGAATGCACTTTCTGCTTCATATTTTTATCATAAACTTATCACCAGCAACGTAGACTTGCATAATTTTACTATATGACCTTGTGCATTTTTTTATGGACTTTCCCAGTAGTTTTCGTGACTTGCTTGAATTGCAAAATCTTGTTTTGTTTTCACATCACGTCTGTGAATTATTCTGCACTCATTATTGGATGTCAGTGAAAAAGTGAAAAACACTGAAACTTGTCTTCGATTTTTCGTTTTCTTCCGCCTGACGATTTTTTTTTGGTATCAGAATCTGTTACATAGATCGCTAATCCTGCAAAGCCGTTTGTTATATGTATTGTGATTCAACGACAAGCCTTAGCTTTAGTCATTGCGTGGTTAAACAAATAGAAAACGTTAAACAAATAAGGGCAAGAAGCGTGACGCCAGCCGTTTGCATTGAGACCATTGCTCTCCTAGTTTGCTGGACCTTTTTATTGGTCGATCTCAGCTTGATTCAAGTGGCCATTCTAAATACATAGGAGGAATTTCTTTTACTTTTGATGTGGCATCAGTGAATATTGAGGAATTAATCGACCTTAAAACCCATCAGGTAACCCAGCAAAACCCAAAGGGTTAAGACCCACGGTTGACTTCCCTTCTTCGCGCCAGCTCCTTGGGTAGAGTTTTTCATTTGCATGTCCTTTGAGGCTAGAGGGGCGTAATTTGTGAGAAGGAAAAATCAACCGTTCCAAAAGCTCCCATCAACTCGCTAACTATAGCCAACCCCAAAAGAACGAAAGGTGGGCGAACCTTAATAATCTTTGAGTAGGTCGGTTTTTTTTTGTTTTTGTTTTTGTTTTTTTTTTACGATAGGAGATACTCAAATACTTGTGAAAAAGGGTTCGTGGCTTCTATGATGCGGTGTTTTGCCTCGGCCAGGAGAAAACTCGCAGATTTTTGGGAAGCAAAATCTTTGAGAGTATCACGCATCAAGTTCCGTTCGGAAATTCATTCGAGTTTGCTTTAAAATTCTGAGAAGTATCTTTCTTGGCCGAGACGAATCGTGAACAAGCGGTTAGGGATCCTTTTGCGATAGAGAGCCACGCAACTAACATCTTGACTTTGTGAATAGATCAGCGAGTGGGATGCTGAATGAGTTTTCTCGAAATTTTTGAAGGGTATCTGATGACTCTGAGGGGCCACACCGCCTAGTAATAGCCACAGAATGGATTTTGGGATGAAAAAAACACAAAAACACAAAAAAACAAAACAAAACAAAAACAAAAGCAAATTGTTTCATAGTATATTAATTTCCCTGGCGTCAAGTGAATCAAGCCAAAAAACAGACTCACGCAAATGTGAGTAAATCAGATGACGAGGTTAAACAGCCCCAAACTGTGTTCTGGTTGAGTTGTCGGCTCATTGTGCTGCTTTTGACAGCTGTTGTGTACAAGTATCAGTAGGTTTACAAATGAGTTTCTAGCAGAGAGATCACTTGAAAACAAAATTTTGCATTGATTATTAACACCTTCTTTTTATGTTTTCCCTTGAAGGAATGTCGCTGAATATCATGTCAGTAATGGCTCTCTTACTAGGTTTGTCTTCTGTAACCCAAGTGATCGCCAAACCAGTAGATAAATGGTCTTCCTCGTGTAATCCTAATGATCTCCTGTGCTTGAGGGACCTGGCGTCTGACGCTGTTGAGACTTCTCCTCTTATGTAAGACAACCATAAACATTCGCTTTATCTCAGTAAACTGGAAACAAAAAGTTATGGTATTTCACATGTGTTTACATGTTCACATGTTTATATGTTTATGTGTTCATATGTGTTTTCAGTTTCCAGAAAAAAACATATCCTACGCATCACCCGAGGTAGTGTTGGTACCTCTTCACTGATTAGACTAATGTATCAGCCCTACCTAAAAATACACATTAAGTTCTTCCATGTTGTAAAAAAATTATCAAAAATCTCTCGCGCGTAAATAGACATGCTGCATATGCTTTCCTCACTCCAGGTCCCCAAAAATAGTTGCCCATGTGCAGGCGTCTCTCATTTCGACTGTTGCTCGCGAAAAGGAAATAGAGGTCTACACACAAGCAATAAAGATAGTTTTGTTGTTCAATTTTTTACCCCTTACTCGCTCATATGATCAGAGGCTACAAGGGCGAATCCTTCTGGTCAAGATCTTCATCTAAATGGTAACCGTTGGGATAAGAAGGCGGAAGATGAAGCTCGTGGGTTCAAGGTCTCGGTTATATATAGCCCCAAAATATCCCTGAATCTGCGTTCCAACGAAGGAAGGGTGCCTCAGAGACCGAGTGAGGGCTAAAATGCAACACAGAAACCTCTTTTCCTGGAGCAAAATAAGACTAACAACGTTTCAGACTTAATCACTGAGGCGCAGCATTCTTTGTCTATACTCACACGATTTCTTCGTATGAAATGATCGCTAGGGTACCGGTCAAAGATGAAGGAACAAAAGAAGAAGATTGTCCACCAGGGTATGTAAATATTTATCTTCGATTCGTAACATGGCTTAACGTGAAATTTTCTCCGGCATAAGGGTCAGCAATTTTAAGTGAACTATCTCTTAGAAGAAGATTTTTTTCAAGTGTCGAAGCGAAGAGAACTAACGTTGTTAAATCGCATGTACGATATTAGCGCGTTCTTAAGAAAACGCAAATCAAGATCACGAATAAGATGATGGACCTCCTCGGTGGAACGACTTCAAGCAAACGCTTATCATTGATATAATTAATCCTGATGACTGCCATGTGTAAACTTTCTCCAACGGTTTTCGTTGACAAGATTCCCGTACATCAAATGACTATGTAATTCCCGTCCTGAATGTACTGGAATATTGCTGAAGAAGTGAGCCAGTCAGGGATGAAGAAACGCAACCAGAAAATTGTCCTCCGGGCGATGTTAAATAATCGTCTCGTGTCAATTCCTTGAATCAGCTAACGTGAAATTATTACCAGCGAAACAATTTTGAAAAGTTAACCTTAAAGTATTCATTCCAGTGCCACCTTTTTGTCATGGTCAAGGACAGAAAGAATTCTTCCATACTAGGTGATCATGAGTGTTTTCCGGGTTATTAAGCAATTGCCAAGAAATTGCTTTCCATACATACATACATAGATACATACATACATAAACTTTATGTTTTCTCGAATTTAAGAGTAGCTTATAAAAACTAATTTTTCCGAGAGAAA